CCAGGCCCTCTGATCTGCCCTCGCCGCGCTCCTGCCTCATCTCTCCATTCACTTTCTCAGCTCTGCTTCTTCACTTACTTCTGGATGTTTCTCAAGAGCACTGTCCTGCCACTGCTCCGAGGCCTTTGCACCAGCTCTTCCCTTGCTTGGAAGGCTCTTCCCCTAGAGATCAATACAGCCCACTCCTTCACCTTCCGGAGGACTTTATTTCATTGTCACATTCATACCCAAACACCTCGTCCAGAGTATGATGTAGCTGAGGTATGCGGCCGGAGTACGTGAGACCTCCGGTCATGTCTGATCACCCTTACCTGCTTTATTGTTCTCCCTTGCGTTTCCGCTGTCTGACTTAGTATACTTTAGCTAGTTAGTTTATGGTTTCTCCCCCAAAGTACAATGTCCACTCCATGAAAACAGGGACTCTGCTTTGTTCATTGCTGTATCCTCAATGCCACATATAGTACCTGGACGTGGGCCTTAATAAATATTCATTAAATGAGAACTCAGTGAGTGAAAGAATGAATGAAAAACTCAAGGTTTCTAACTTCATAGAATTTATAAACTGCTGGAGGGAGACATAGAATAAACAAACTGGATAACTACTTCATGTGATAGGGTAGTGACTCAGCGGTTGAGCCCTAGAGTCTGACTGTCAGGGTTCAAATCCCTTTTTCTTTTATTAGCAAATGCCCTGTGTCTTTGAGGGCAAATTACTTAAGCTCTCTGGGTACCATTTTCTTATCCATTAAATAATAATACCCCCACATAGGATTATTATAAGAATGAAATGAAACAACCCCTGTAAAGCACTTAGCACAGTACCTGGCATGTAGTAAGCTCTCAATAATTATTAACAGCTATTATTATTGGATCCCACTTGCCATAGTCAAGTGGAGCCTGAAGAGTTTTTCTGGCTTACCCCCATCCTGGTCTGGTGCTACTGAGACTTTTCTGTTAGGGAGCAAAGGTTAGAAGGCCCCCACCAGAAAGACTGTCTCTGGGAACAACTTTATCTGAAGATTTCTTTAAACCACAAATATCCCAGTCCTCCCTTTAAACATATATTGAACATTTCATCTGCCCAGATAGTCTCCAAACAATACATCCATTCCTTCTGGAAATAACTGTTTCCTGTTTACATATCAGCAACCAGTTAAAGATTGTGTTGATATTTTTTTACTTTTGATAGTAATTTTTAGAGTGCAAAATAATTGCTTAAGGCTGTACTTTAGAAGACATTCATAAATCTTTCTTTTGCCTTGTGATACAGAGAAAAACCATGTCAAAAGTCATTCTAACAATTTGTATTTTAATTTATGTTCTATGAGTTACCATTTAAAGAAGGGTAGTTTCTCATTGGTAAGCCTTCTTAAGAGGCTAGAGCTTTGATCTTAAATCCTGGGGAGGCTTTGCAGAAATTGGAGGTGACATTGTTGACAGGTTTGTCTGTAGCTATTCTACTGCCATTAATTAAACATACACACATGCACACATATACATACACCCTTTATTTACTCAACCCTGGATAAATGAATTGAACTTGACTTTCAGTTTTGATGGGAAGCTATGAGGGGGCCCAGGAAACATCAAAGAAACACTCTTAATCGAGTAAAACTAACTCTCAAATGACCTGGCTTGCACATTAAAGAGTTCCTGATTCCAATGCTGGTCTAGTTTGATTAACACAAAGTGTTAATTCTCCTTATGATAAGAGAAGTGCAGGGACAAATAATTTCATCCCCTCCTCACTAAGATCCAGAGAACCACAGGCTTTTTAATTTTATCCAGCTTCTAAAGTTCTCCTTTGTAAACCTGTATATGCATGTTTTCATTTCATACTGCCTACACCTTCAAGATCTCATCTTTAATATTTTAAAACTTAAATGCTCTTGCATTTTAATTTTAGATTTTTGGAATGCTCTCAGCTATCCCAAAGCTTTCTTATGTTCTTAAGTCTTTAGAAATGGAGGTACAGACAGGTTAACACGTTTGATTAATCAAAAGCCAAATGATGCCCTTGCAGAGACAAATCTGAGCCTCATAGTAGGGAAGTCCATTTTCATGTCTGCTTGTGGAAGCCCACTAGACCACTCATTTGCTCCCAACAGAAATAGCCATCATGTGGCTTTTTCTGTTTATATTCTAATAGACAATAAACATAATAACTAATTAATTAGACAATATATTAGAAGGTGTTGAAGGCCATGGAGAATAAAAAAGCAATTGTGTCAGGGTTGTTTTTACATTGGGTGGTCAGGGAAGGCCTTACTGAGAAAGTGACTTGCAGAAGCTGAAGGATGAAGGTGGCACCACTGGCACAGGTGCGGGAAGAGGCAGCAATGAGTGTAAAGATTCTGAGGCAGGAGGACACCTGATGTGGGCGGAGCAGCAAGGAGGTCAGTGAGGCTGAAGGAGAGTGAGTGAGTGTAGGAAACATGGTCAGAGATTTGGGGCAGGTCATCTAGGGCCTCCTGAGACAGGTGAGACGTTGGCCTTTTCTCAGAGTGACATGGAGCATTGAGAGGGTTTTGAGCTGAGCAGTGACAGATTCAATTTACACTGACCAGGACTCTTGTGTGGCTGCTGCTAGAAGCTGGGAGACTAGTTAAGTATTGCAGTGATCGAGGCCAAAGATGGTTGTAGTTTAAGCCAGGGTGGTAGTGGCGAGAAGTGTTTGGATTCAGGATATGTCATAAAGGCAGAGCCAAAGGATTTCCTGGTGGACTGGGTGGAGAGGAGTTAGGGGTGACTGCAGACCTCGAGCCTGGACAGCTGGGCCATGGGCGCAGCCCACATGTCTCGTCTTACTGTGGGTGGTTCACACTGGTCTCCAGATTATCGGCTATCAGCTTGGTCCTGGCTATGAACCTGTAGACACTCTGGTGGCCAGAAGAAGTCCCTGTATGGTCTTTGGAGCCCTCCTTCTGAACAGATGCTACCAGTTCATTAATGAGAGAGGGCTCTGCTCACCACGTAGGCTGCTGAGTCCTTCACGACACCTTCCGACTGCCCCGGTGGCCCCAGCTTCTGGGAGAGGAACTGCAGTAGGAGTGAGTGCCATCCCAGCCTGTATCTGAGCTCTTTGTCCGACACATGTAACGGAAGAGCAGCAGAGCATGAGAAGCTAAAATTAAAGACAAAGAATAGGAAGATCAGGAAAGTTTTGGTACAAACTTCTGTGAAAAGAAAAATTTCAGAAATAGTAACATGGTATCCTTTCTTTGTAAAGCCTTCTCCCTTTTGTTTCTCTCTCAGCTTCTAGTTGGAAGAAAAAGGGTCCAATATTCCCAGAATAACCGGAGAGATTTAATGAACACACAATGTGACAAAAACAGAGATTAAGTCCCACATTTAGACCTTGAGGGCTGGCAGAAGAGGAGTGTATGGGTCACTGCAGTCAGGTCCTGGAAGGTGCTGTGGCCGTCCTAGGGGTCTCCACCACCCCACCCTAATCTTTCCTGTGCAAATAAACCAACAAGCCTATTGTGAGAGAACATGAGGACATGGTTCACTATGATGGTGGCCAAGGAGAGAGCCAAAAAAAATCCTTCTCTGTTTATTTATAGCAATCTCACTTCCCATCCTTGCCTTGTTCACATGGGGCTGAGTAAATCTTAATCTGAGTTGTTATCTCAGGAAAAGCAAAGGGTAGCTCGGGAAGCCCTCTAAACAGCAGGTGCAAGCCAGAAAGAAGAGGTGAATGGGGAGGGCGGAGGCAGTGGAAACTATCTTCGGGAGGCCAAGAAGTCCATAAGGCTGATTAGCTTGAGGAAGGCGCAGGTGGATTGGTAAGCATGTGTGCCGGGGGTGGGAGGGTGGGGCTAATGCCTAAGGGGCAAACTGGATCCCACTGGGATAGGGTGATGGGGAGCCCAGATGGACTGGCATTCAGTCAAACCAGATGGTGGGCTTTTATTTTTAAAAGGATTTGTAAATCCTAGGAACAAGGAACCATAAGGGTACTGGAGCCTTTAATGCCATTAGTAAAAGACAAAAGCATGCTCTTTAAAAATGTGAGCCCACCAATTATAGAATTTCTGTTACAAGTACCAGGACAGGCTACCAGCTTGTGAAACTCCAAGGTCTCTCTGGATTCTTCATTGACGGGGAAGGAAACTGCAGAAATTGTCAAGGCATTCTAATAGAAAGACTCTTCCTTCAGAGTTTAATGTGAATTTACTAAATGGATGTTCGGAACCAAACCAAACATGATGTGTGTACATGAAAGAGCCTTATGTATGGAGTTAGAAGAATAGCTAACAGTAGAATTAGGGATTGATCAATTACTTGGTAAGTTTTGAGTTTGTATGAGACAAATTTCAAATTTAAGCATCTATTGCTTTCCCAAGAATTGTCCCCCTGTGTCCCCCTCCCTGATTGCTGGAGAAGTCTGGATGAGTCTGGCCTCAGTGTGCCCACAGCTGCTGTCCTGGTGGCTGACACATATGAATTCTGCTCTTCGGTCCTCCTCTCTTTGTTAGCCATAACGTGAGGGTCCAGAATTATTTCCATAACCCTTCTCCAATAGGACTTATCCTCAAGGAGTGCAATGTGGAGTCATCACTCTGTGCTGTGTGTGGCACAGCTGTGATCTGTGCGAGCGGAGCCACGCCTTCCTTCAGTAGGGACAGCCAAGCGTGGGCGTGTCGGGTGGTGCGCTCAGGAGTCCACGAGGAATCTGCTGCCTTTGTAGCTTGTCATACCTGATTCTTCTGCTAAGAGGAGAAGCCTAATTTCATCTAAGAAATTGCAAAGAAATGTTAAAAATAAAGAGAAAGTTTTAATCAGAGTGATTCATTGTTAAATCACTCTTCTGTTTAGAATATACATAGCCCCATTTAGTAAATATCAGCAGTTCAGTATCACTTTTTGGCACTGTTTCATAAATACTTCTTTCTAAAGGGTAACTCTGTTAATCTTGTGGTTGAAATGGAATAGAGTTGCTTTCCAGCACCATTAACTGGACGTTTTTGTGTTTGGTTTTATTTTTATCTGTGAAGGTATGGAAACCTGACAAGCCCAGACTGTGAAGAAGGGGGAAGCCAGAGCTTATCAGCGTCTAAGACGGTGATCCGGAAGTGAGTGCACCTTTTCTCTGCATCACACACTCTCAGTCAACACCTATTATCTTAAAAAAATGTAATTTAGTAGAGTGTTTTTTATTCCTTTGGAACATTGCCCTGTTTTTCCCATAATATATAAATTCGTGGAATTATTTGTTAACTATCTGACAATATTCATTTATTCATCCAGTAAAAACGTACTGAGCACCTACTGTTTGCCAGACCCTGTGCTAAAGTAAGTCAGCCCCAGCTTTTATGAAGTTTATATTTTTGTAGAGAGAGACAAAAATCTGCAGAAAAAAAAAGGAGAATGAAGTAAGGCAGCGGGGCTAGGTCCTGATGGGGAGTTCAGTCCCCCTGGGGTGCCAGGAGGGGGGCTTTTTGAGCTGGTGATGTTGGAGCAGAGACTTGTGTGTGGTGCAGGGAAGGCCTTGTGAATATCCGGGCAGAGAGAATACGGAAAAGGCCCCTGAAGCAGGAACAGTGTTTGCGAACTAGTAGGCAGATGAATGAGTCCAGAGCAGAGCGAATGAAGTGGCAGGTGCTAGGGAGGAGGTCTGTCAGGTAGTAGGGACGCCAGATCACATGGGGACCCACAGACTTTGGGGAGGATCTTGAATTTTGCTCTGGGGAAGATTTGTACCTAGAAGGTTTTGAAGAGAACCTCTATGGCCTGATTTATATTTTTAAATGGCTCTGTTTGGAAAACAAGCCCTGACAGTGGGGGTAGGAGCAGGGGTGGAAGCCTGCTTAGAACCCTTATGAGGGTCCAGAGGAGGGAGATGGTCACATGGACTTGAATAGTAATGGTAGTGGGAGTACCATCTTCTGCAGAAATCTGGAAGGTGTTGCCAACAGGATGTGCTGATGGAGTGGCTGGGCCATATGAGAGGAAAAAGGAGGAAATGCTTCCTCTCATGGCTGTGATGGAAGCAACTGATAGAATAGAATGTCAGCTCTATGGGGCAGCAAAGACTGGGGGTGGGGAGCATGTGTCAGTAACTTCATCTGTGACACGGTACTTTTGAGGTATTCGGATGAGGATAGATTTCAGGGAGAAGTATGGTTGGAGGTATAAGTTTGGGCATCCTTAGTTTGCACAAGGTATTTAAAGCTCTGGGACTGAATATGACCTCCTGGAGACAAAGGGGTTGAGGAAGAAGAGAAAGGTGCCAAGACTGAGCCTTGATTCCCTTTCAGTGTTCAGAGTTAGGGAAGTCGAGGGTCCGGCAGAGACTGGAACAGAGCAGCCAGGGGGCAGGGGAATGAGAAAGAAGATGTGTTCCAGATACAAGCACAGAAAGGGTTTCAGAGGGGAGGGACCCGCTCTGTCAGGTGCTGCCCACGCTTTGAACAGGAGGAGTCTGCAGTGTGACTGGTGCCTTTGTGATGCTTTGGCCTTTGGTTCCCTCAACAGGCACAGTTTTGATGAATGGAGGTGTTGGCCCAGAGAGGATGGAAGGAGAGGAAGTATGGATGGTGGGTTTAGCAACTCTGGGGGAATTTTGTATAAAGGGGGACAGAAAAATGGGAGTAAGGATCATCTAGGAGTAAGGGAGCATTTTTTCCTTGTGTATGTGGGGTTTTTTTTTTCAACTTTTTGATAGTTTATGATGCTGTTGGGATGCAGGAGACCCTGAAGAAAGGTCTGTGACACAAGGCAGCTGCCGTAGGAGTGATGCTCTGGAGTTGGGGTGCTGTACACCAGGGTGCCTGAAACCACTCGTGGTAAATCTTCATCTGGGGCCAGAAGTTCTGGGGTCTAATGCTGTGGAATTTTTAACTCCTCAGAGGCTTGACTGATAGACTCCTTTCCTCAGGAGTTGGGGATGTGAAGATTAGAAAACTGAGTATCTTTTTAACTCCTGAGTTAGGCTCCAGGTAGTTTTATAATTTCATGGGATGGGCCATAACTTTCCAGACGACCGGACACACCAGTGTATATATTTGAATACTCAGCACAAGGTGGAGTGAGTGGAGAATGTGGGGAGGCTTCTTGGAGAAGATAACTGTTGAGGTTAGCCTTGAAGGGGGTGAGGATTAAGGCGGTAGAGCCATCCGGGCAGAGGGAACAGTGGGACCAAATCAAGGAACTGTAGTGTACGTGATATTTTGGGGAACAGCACAGAACTGGTGTGGCTGCTTGACAGGGTACAGCTGGGTAAGGGGAGTCGCTGGAGCCGAGGCCTGTCATGAAGAATCATCGTAATTTCTCACAGAAAATTTGGACTTTCCCTGGAAGGCAGTGGGTAGTCAGCTCTAAAAAGGTTTTACAGGAGGGAAACAGTGCCGTCGGGTGGGTGATTTGGGGGAATGGGTTACACTTACCGTCTTCTCATTCCAAGCGTGGTCCACGGACCAGGAGCATCAGCATCGTGTGGGAGCTTGTCAGAGATGCGGAATCTTAGGTCCCACCCCAGACCCAGACTAGAATCTGCATTTTAACAAGATCCTCAGATGATTCTTATGTACTTTCAAGTTGGAGAATTGTAGGATTAGAGGAGTTTTGTTGTTGCTAATTTTGTTCATCCCTGGAAAACTTACTGAAATGATACATTTAAAAAAAGAACTTGATAATGAGTATTTTTAAGCATATAAAAAAGAAGAGGTACTGTAAGAACTGAGTGTCCAGCTTGTCAAATGTAACCTCGACCTGTGACCTTTTCAGAAATAAGCAAGTTGTGCTCCACATAGTCTGGATTTGAGTCAAATCTAGAGCTCCCCATCAACTAGCAGCGAACACTCTGAGGAGGGCAACAGTCTGGAAAAAAAATACCCGGAGTTTTTCTGTTTCCCCGGGGGGTATTTTGTGGCAGTTAAAGAAAATTGATTTGTGCTCTGGATGTGAAAAATCATGCTCATTATTTTAAAGGCCTGCTGAAAAACCTCATTCAGATTTATTGTATACCAGGAACAGTAACGTGGGTGAAACTCCAGGAGAAGCTGTTTTAAAGGGCTTTACAGTTTTAAGCACATTATGAAGCCTTAACAAAGAGCTTCACATAGAACTTCCCCGAGGGGTCCATCATCTGGGGTTGATGGTCCTTTCCCAGAGCCTCACAATTAATTGGAAGAAAGTTCTTGACCCTTTTCCTCAGACTGAGTTGCCTTTAAAATTATGCCTGATGAAAAATATGCCACTTTATCTTATAATGGGTCACTCTGTCCCACCACTGCTAGAATGCCCAAATCTCCTCTCTCTGCTGACCTCTTCCTCCTTCCCATTTTCCTTTCTTCTGTCTTACTTGTCCTTTTATTATTTTTCATTTCATCTCACCGTTCTTTCTGCTCTCTTTTTCTAAAGTCACCCCTCTTCTGGGTCATCTCTGTGACTAGAGAGGGTCACTGCTTTGTATTTCTGAGAGGAAATCTGGGAAACACCTTTTTCATTTCATATGTAACATATTGAAAGTTCCTTGATTATCCCAGAGCTCAGGCATTTGACTTGTGGCAACAATTGGAGGCTTCTTGACGGCTAATGGGTATATAGGAGATGGCCATACAATATGACCCTCCTCAAGGGGTGACTCTCCCCAGAGAACCTTTGGCAATATCTGGAGGGGTTTTGGTGTCTCAACTTGGTTGGAGGATTCTGTGGACATATAGTGGGTAGAGGGTAGAATTGCCGTAAAACATTCCACAGTGCACAGACAGCCCCCTTCCACCCCACCCACAAAGGACTAGGTGACCCTCAATGTCAATAGGGCCTAGAGGCACCCTGCTATATGATGAGGCCACTGTCCTCAAGTGAAAACTATATTTATGAATACCAAATATATGTAAAAATAGGACCATGCTTATTTAGAAGTTTATTTATTCATGTCTCTTATAATTAGGTGAACCAAATGCTGAGGTGGCCCAAGAGCCAGCCTCATGGGAGGTAATGGGCTCTGGGTCAGGAACCTGGAGAACTCGAATTTGACCTCCTCCTCCTCGATCACGCTGTCACTCACCAGTCAGATGTCCTAGTCACTTTACCCTCTCTGTTTCAGTTTCTTTACCTGAAAAATGAGTCCTTGGATACATGATCTCTGAGGCTCTTTGAAGTTTAATGATGTCCAGGAAAGAATTTATTTAGCCTTCTCTTCATCTTTTGAAAGATAAAAATGAGTAGCAGAAACAGAGATATGGTTCAAATATCACATTGAATTTTTGAGAGGTACCCTCGACTGCCTTTCCTCTGTTGGAAAGACTTTGTAACCAGTTTTGATAAAATAAGAATTAAAAATAGACTTGGTTGATTTGCTTATTAATCAGGATGTCACAATTACTCATTATGATCTTAAATAAAAAGATGAGCAAAAGCCCTGAGCTGTGGGGCAAGGAGGCAAGGAGTGCAAATGCCCATTGTTTTCCTTCACTGCAGAATCTGCTCTTCTTGTGATTTCAGGTGGGAAACAGATGGCAGAAATTCAATGACATTCTAAGAAGTAAACATCCTGTTTTAGGGCAGATGCCTTCTTCACTTTTGCAGACTGGGGGTGGGGTGGAGGTGGGGAATCGCTGTTGGGTTTAACCATGAACCAAAAAAGCTCAAGTATTGTTTGGTTTTTCAATTTTTGATGTAAAGCATAGAGCAAGACTTACATCTCGTGTAGGCTCCCAAGTTCCAAGATAACAGTCTTCCTGTATTTCTCAATATGGATCTAATCAACCTTTCAGAGATTAAAAGAACATAAAAGAAGGAAAATAGAAATACAGATGAAACAGTCAAGATGAAAGATTGGTTTCTGGTGTGTTGGACCACAACTGACTAATGTTTTCCATGAATATAAAAAAGCAGATTATGCCATGACTCCCATTTGTAATCCCATTCCAGTAGTGGTGGGACAGAGTGACCCATTATAATTTGTAACAGCCTGAGTATGCCCATTTCAGGTGTTGTGCAGTATCAGGAACCTATAAAGCTACCTGGCTAAAAGAGGAATTCCTTCAATTGCAAAGAATTCAGCTTCCAAGGCTCCTAGATGTTGGAATATTTGCACAGTGATTTCTGATGTTAGTGCTAAATTGAT